CCATGCTTCTCCTTTCGGTCTCCGAAAAATACTATTAGCATCTCTTAGAATTGAAGTTTCACAGAAAATAATTTGTAAAACACTATTTGAATAAACAAGTTTAATATTTTTTAGATTCCAAAGGGAATATACTTTTGTCTCTACCTGTTTGCTTTCAGAACCATGTCAGAAATTTGGACCGTGAGTTGCTTGTGCAGAGTAGGCAGTGATATATGTTTGGCTTTGTCTTTACCAACTGAATTAACAAAAACATTGTTTAACTGGAGATTTCTCTGCTGCTTCACATCCACTAACTTGAAATCATTGTCACAACTGCAATGAACTTCACTGGACTCCATTGTTCTTCTCAGTAGGGATTTTCAAATTAAGACGGTCATATGGGACCAAAACACGAAGCTTGGCAAATCCATTATCTGTACACGCTCTCTACTCCTGACACCGTCCTGAGCTCAGATCTGATTCTGTGTCCCATTGCTACTGAACTGATCGAAGGTGCTAAGAGCTAAGGTCTACATTCCAAAGTGATGAATATACTTTCTTAGGGATACCTACATCCCACTAGGAAATTAAAGAATAGTGAATGTCCAAAAATTATAGATATTATAGTGGAATGATGGACATTGTGATTGATACATTGGGACCCATTTTCAATGCACGTAATACATAGTTGGTAAAAGAAATTTGTATGGTTTCTACATGGTGATGATGAAATGGTGTATTTGAAAGTCAGAAAGACCTAGATTCATATCCGCACTCTGCCAATTACAAAGTATCTGCCCTTGGGCACTTCACTTCACCTCTCTAAATGGAGACAATTATAGTACCCATCATCATATGGTTGTTGTGAAGATTAAATGAGAAAATAAATGAAAAACACTAAGCATAAATCTGCCACATGGTGAGCTCTCAATACAGATTAAACTCTCCAGGGGTTCCTATTGTGATTATCACATAGATGCCAACTTAGAGAACACTTCCCCTGTTGTACCATCATTAATCTCTGAGAGTTTTCACAGAGGTGAACTCTGTGTGTTCCACAGTTCTTCCTATATCCATTCTCACCCGAGTATCTCAACATTAAGAACAGAAGCATAAAGGAACAAAGAATCAGGGCCACGAAGACAGTTTTCAAACCTGATGTGAAATTGTTTCCACCATGTGTAAATAGCTGTCATCCTCCATACCAGAGGAAGGTTATTTTAACAAGCTATTCAGTGCAAATGATGCCTGCAATAATGCACTGCAGTGAGTAATAAGTTTGCAAAGTCAAATTAAAACATTTACTGAAGCCAGGTATTTGAACATCTTCATCATAGACTGATCCCAGTTTCTACTTTGCAGTTTTACCAAGCTTTACACGTCCAGATTGCTTCACTAATATTGTGTAATAGTAACCCAGAAGCAAATCTTTGAAACGTATCTGCAGAATAAACCCCTATTGGAATCATGGCACTCAGACACCAAAGGGTTAAGAGATTATCCCTAATGAGCAAAGAGTCCCAAATGAAGAATTCTAGAGGTGCCTACAGTAATCAGGAAGAGGGATATTAGCATATTCACCAGAGTATAGGTTTCTTTTTTTTTTTTCCCAAATAGCCAATGCACATTACTAAAAAGCTGCATAAAATCATGCATTTGTGAATGATTTACCGGGTGAATGGTAAATTATCTTCCAAATACAGTTAATTAGTGTTGGCTTCCTGCTTGTGTTCATTTATGGGAGCCCCTATAATTTATGTATGTCTTTGACCTTCTCAAGACAGACATTTTCCTCTGATCGCAGGAGAACCAATTCCATTATCTTGCTCACCCTCTCCCACTCCCCTTTTCTCCTCCTATTATTACCTGTTCTACATTCTCACCATCATATAATTCTCCCTTCTCTCCTTATCACTTCAACTACCCTCTGCACAAAATGCAATGTGAAAATAAATGGAAAATATCTTTAAAATAGCAAACAAACATCCAAATATATAGGAAATGAAACTGTTAGCTGTTAGCATCTTTGGCAAATGAACTAAACATGTCATTGTAAATGTCTATTTGTTGTCAAACCCTTCCTTATTCATCTACAACCTCTAAAGGAATAAAAAAAAACTACAATAACATCACACACGTCTGCTATGATCTATATATTAAAAGTGCTCCGGAAAAGTTGCATTTAATCAAACCCTATTTTTATACAATAGGAAAGCTGGCTATTTAAAGAAATCCTATGACAAATTATTTTATGTGGAAAATAATTTCATAAAGCTAACGAATTTCTTCTATTCATCAGCTTTGAATATCTGAATCTTTTTATATCTGATCTACTTGAAGTAAGTAGCACTGATATACTTTAAGAGAACACTTGGTTTTACTGAAGAAATATTTCTAAATTTTAAAAGAAGTCAGAAAATAACCTTTTAAAAATCTTAGAAATTTCTGAAGCTTGCATGTTTGCAATACACAATCCTACAGAACTTCTCTCTTCACAATTTTGTAATAAACTTATCTTATGGATTTCATATTGAAATTCCAAGCCATTGTCTGCATATTGCTAAACTCAAAACAAATGAGTGAGCTATAATTCATATAATCCCAGTCTTATCCTTGGAATAATGAGAGGACAATCTGTTTTTTTTTTTCAATCTGAGCATACAAATATCATAACATATAATATTGCAAGTAACAATACACCTTCACAGAGCAACCTCTAAAACTTCTACACCAAGACACCAAACACATCTATATTAAGCCCAACATCTGAACTGTGTGAATACATACATAAACTTGGAATCTCCTTACATGAATGATGGCCATTAACCCAAGGATAATTTTGAATTATTTTTCCAGCATGTACTACATACTCAGTTATTTTTTTTATTTAAGTGGTAAGTTAATAAATAACAGCCTTAATGGCTGAGGTTACCTTATGCAAACACTCCTTTGACAGGTTTCCCCTTATGACCAAGTACCAGTATTCTCATTACAGCTCTGAGAAGCTTAGGTTAAACAATTTGGAACCCATGAAAATTAGTTTGTGTGCGTGTGTGTGTAAACCAACATGGTCACATTTCTAATAGCATGCTCCATGGAAGACAAGTAACAATCATCTGGACAAAAAGGCAATTCCTATTCTTATTGATATACTGAATTAAAATCTGAGGGTGGAGATACCTGAGAATCTGTATTTAAAGGCTTCATTTTGACAGGACCTAGGTTCTTCCACATGACTCTACACAGAGGTCGAGTTCAAGTGAAATATTAAATCCATAGTTCAACTATACTCAAAGTTTAGAGCAAGTGAATTATTCGTAAAAGAAATAGCTCTGACTCTGCTTTTCTGTAACCTAAAACAGAAACTAAAGCAGCAAATGTGTTATTACCATAACCCTCTGAATTGGAGCATAAAAGAGGTTTGTTGTTTACTTTATTCTGGTCCTACTTAAAACCCAAGTCAAATACGGTAATGCTACAAACTTTTTAGCAAATATCTCCCAAAAGGAACTGCTCTGCAAGCATCTGATAAAGATTGTGTGATTGTGGTCAAAGTGATAATGCTGAAAGGATTTGTGCATGGTCAGGTCCCTTATTAATGATGTATAATTGCCTATGATTGACTCTTCTGCCTGAATGAGGCAGGAAGTCTAGTTCATGTTGAGGAAATCAGAAATTAATCAAAAGCAGATTTTTGCTGTTTGGGATTGGCCCAATATGTTACTTATTTTGAAAGCTCATGGGGGAAAGAACATGCAACTCTAATCAAAATAATTTAAACCTTCACAGAGGGTACTCTACAAATTCTAAAAAGTAAAATTTCAGGTAAGAGGACAGTGAATGAATCATATATAAACTTCTAATAAAATATATTTACTCCAGTGTTAATACTCAGAATTTTGAAAAGGACAAAAAAAAAAAAAAAAAAACAAAACAAAAAACCCAACCCATCCTAAAAACAAATGGCTCTCATGGAAAAAAAGCATAACTAAATAAATGACTTACGGCAATGAACTATTTAGGAGGTGGCATTAGGAGACTGATGTTAACACAACCCCAAAATGATCAGCTAGACATAAACAACAACAGTATACAAGGAAAAAAATGTATTCCTGACATTATGGGAAGAACTTTATACTTAACCAACTGGTTGATTATATAGTTAAAAAGGTAATGCCCAAGTCATTATTCATAAGTTCATGAATGCAATCAATATTACAATTATCTAGAAAATATCAAATTTTATAATGGCTCAGATTCTGTCCACAATACAAATATCTATGTGTATGTAGATTTATATACACACACATCTAAAACCACACATAAGATGATTATTCAAGATTTACTCAGGAGCAATAGAAGGTAGACATTTTATCATATAGTGTCTTAAGGTCATCACACCTATATCAGGAATACTCTTCATGGCATTAGGTTTTGCCCTATATCCCTGAAAACCACATTCTAACATTCTCCACCAGATAAGAATATTCTGAATTTTTGTCTTCTACTGTGAGTCAAATTACTAGTTTACACTACTTGTGCTTCAGATTTAAAAGACACACACACATTTCTTTAAAGTTGTTCCATTTAAGAATCACTAGAAACTCTTAACACCACTCATTTATAACATAATTTTGTATAAATGATATTTGGGTGCAATCCAGTGGATTCAATCCAAACTTCCAAGGGAACCTCATTTTGAGGCAACCCTCACAAGGAGATTCCACATATGGTTCAAGCAATATTCTAGAGGGGTTCCAGTGTATGTTTTCTGAAATGCTTGTAGCAATCAATGATATCTTGAAATCTTTCACGAAGACAAAGAGATCATAGCAATTGGATCCCTGTCCCCTAAATTAAGCCTTAATATTCCACATATACATTTATCGGCACAACTTATTAGTTATCTTCCCAAGTATTTGATTTTCAACCAATTCTAAATTTAAAATAAGCCTCCTTTTTTTTTTGGAAACACTCCCAGTACCAAAGTATACTTAAAATCTCATTTGCTGAATTCCTACCTGTAACTTTCAATTCAGTTGTTCGTCTCACAAGTTTTCCTTCATATTTAAGTTCACATGTGTAATTTCCTCCATCTTCTTCTTGAACTTCCTGGATAAGAAGAGCATTTCCTTTCTGTATTATTATGCTTCTCCACATTTTTGGCTTGCATTCCTACAGAAAAAATTTGCAGGTAAGCAAAAAAATTAAAATTTACTTCATATAGTCTTCATACTGGTAAGTTAGAGCTTTCAATTTTTTTATACCCTTCTCATTAGTTTTCAAAATATACAACATAAAAGTTAAGTCAAGGCCCAGGAATCATCACAAATGTCTCTTATTGTGTCTAATTCAAATATCACAGCTATCACACTAAGTCTTATTTTATTTTTTAAAGATTTATTTATTTTGCATGGAAGAACCAGGCTGTAGGCCAGAGGTGGGAGTGAAGGGGGTGAGAGGATTTACCATTGACAGAGTGAGAAGCAGAACAGACAGATCCACTGAAATACACTGCTGAGGGAAGCAGCAGGCACAAGACAGGAGAGGTCTGCTGCGCCATGTGGGTTTGCTCCCTGGGCTGGGATGGAACTCAGGCCATAGTCGTGATAGTGCTGAGACTTAACACTTAGGCCACCAGGGAGGCCCCTAAGTGCTATTTTAAAGGCCTAATTCCAAAAGCAGAAAGTTTTAGAGACATTCTGTAAAAAAAAAAAAAAAAAAGAAAAGAAAAGCATACAAACTTCTCAAATGCAAAGGATAGCAGAGTCTTAAAAGCTGCTAAATGTCAATATAATGCGCTGGTTCCGCCTATTTGACAGTCATATTCTTAAGAGGGGAGTGTTCATAACAACATATTATAAGAGAGTCTTAAGCATTATTAAAAATTCATAGTAGACTTTTTCATGCTGTCAATACAGATTACAATGGCTTCATTGATTACTTGGAGGAAAAACTAATACTAACATTTCAGAGTCTAAATGAGGATCCACATTGTTTTATCAATAGTAACAGAATGGAGAAATTATCTGCATACTTTCTGAGTTTAGTGATATGATCAGAGGATAACATTTGGGTTTTGATGTCAAATTTTCTACTATCCTGATGGGAATGTGAGACTGGATTTCCCTAAAAGGGAATGAGTTCAATAACTTTCTAGAGTGACAAGGATACAGCAATAGTAAAATATGTAGGAATATTCAGCCAGGTAGCTTTGTCTTTGGGGATTTTTTTCAGATTACTGTTTAGATATTATTTCAGTCAGTCTAACACTCATCTCAAAAGTTCAGCTAAAGTGATGACCAATAACTGTACAAACATTAGTGGAGGTATGGGGAATGGCACCAAGGAATGCTAAATAATCAAGGCAAATGCATTTTATCATCTAAATTTTGAGTCTGTCAGTTAAGGCAAAGAAGAAATTGGTTGGGGGCCTCCCTGTTGGCTCAGGGGTTAAAGTCTCAGCTATCAAGCTATCACCAGCCACTGCAGCACAAGTTCGATCCTGGCCAGGGAGCTACCTACATGGCACAGCAGACCTTTCCTTTCTTGTCCACTGCTCCCCTCAGCAGTGTATTTCAGTAGATATGCCTGTTCTGCTCTCCAGCTATTTCTTGTGACTCCTCTCACCCCCTCATACTTCTGGCTTGTACCCCAGTTCTTGCATGCATAAATAAATAAAATAAATCTTAAAAAATAAATTGGTTGTAAAGCAGATTATGTGAACAATGGTTGAAATTGCAACTTTCCCACTATGGTATATACAGACTCTTCATCTCTCCTCACCACTGGCCCCTCCCATGCACATACAATAAACATTTATGGAAAGGTACAGTCAATGCTGATTCTCAATCCCCAAACTCTGCAAGCTTCTGTGTGAGTGTGTGTGTGTGTGTATAAAATGACTTGGGAGAGCAAGTTATCCATTTATTAGTGTTTAACTATAGCAATTTATTTTCTTTTATGGTAGTAGGAATTTTGACAACAAAACACAAAAACTGGCACTTAACTTCACAGGTATAATATTTAAGAGATATATTTGCTTTATTTCCAATATAACGACCCACACACAATGTCAGTAAGTAAATAAAAGTAATACTATCTAGGGCAATGAGATATAAGGCTGCTTTGCTCCCTAGGGTCTTTCCAAAGAACAGTTAAGGGTCTGTCTGAAATTATATTATATACCATGTCTGGCAAGGTTTATCACCTATATGAGATTTGCTTTAGAGTTAAACCTTGGGATATAAGGTTTCTGGGAAAATGAAGAAGAAAGTCTGAGCAGAAAGAAAAAAATAAGTCCAGCTGCCACTGTCGTCATACAATAATAATCCACAATTATTTTCGCATAGCTTCCAACTCTGATAGCTTCGGATTTCTAAAGAATCATTCAGAAGGTCATTAAACAAAAATATGGTCCCTTTGGGCATTTTGAGAGGAAAGGAAAGTGAAAACTGAGCTGCTTCACTTTCACATAGTGGTGGTGGGGGCAAGCAAATGAGCCCACACACTTATTTTATTCAAAGACAAATGGCAACATTTTCTGATGTCATTTTTTTTTGGGGGGGGAGTCCATTTGCAAAGAGCTCTAATCATCTTCATTGCATGTTTTTCTCCAGGAAGGACAAACTAAAGAGGGTATAGGAATTAGAAATTCCTGATGAAGAACAACCTGGAAACTTTACATGTTCTTTGGGATAGATCTAGAGTCCCAAGGGCTTTCCAAGTTGTCATCTAGCCTTATATAGGTGTTTTTTTTGTTTGTTTTGTTCTTTGTATTTTTTTTTACCCAATAGAAATTTTCACGTTTTCAAACTAGCATAGGAATATGCTACCTTCAGGTCATATCTACTCCTCTGGAGACAAAGTAATGTAGAGGAAAAACCAAAATGACATTAGAGCAAGACAACTCTAGGTCATAATCTGGGGTTTATGGCCCCAAGTCAGGGACCTTAGGTAAACTATTCAACTTATTTACCTCTCAGTTTCTTACTCTGCCTATGGGGACAATATACACTACCATATGAGTAACCAGAATCCAGAGACACGCAGAGATTATTCATCACACTCCTGTATACATTTTTATACTGTATATAGCTATCATCCAGCACAAAGTTTTCCATCCCTAAACTTCCCCAATCCTGGATTATGTTTTCCACAAATATCCAGCTCTACTTGTTAAAAATCAGTGCTAATGAACTAATCACATAAAAACAAATCTTCAGGGCCTCCCTGGTGGCGCAAGGGGTGAAGCACCACACTATGAAGCAATCCACAGCCTCTGCTGCAAGAGTTCGATCCCCAGCCAGAGAGAAACCCGCATGGTGCAGCAAACCTCTCCTGTCTTGCCTGCTGCTCCCCTCGGCAGTGTATTTCAGTCAATCTGCCTGTTCTGTTCCCCACTCTGTCTCTGGTGAAGCCTTTCACCCCCCCCACATCTCTGGCCTATACCCCAGCTCTTGTATGCATAAATAAATCTTTGAAAAAAAAACAAATCTTCAGTTATTGTTTGACCATTCCCCAGCAATAAAATACTTTACCCTATGAAACATGCATATATATGTAACTCCTAAGAAGTTACTCCAACACTAATCCTAGCAGGTAGGTAGTGAAAATTTATTTTGTTCAAAACAACCTTATAGGTAACCATCCTACCCCCACCAAGCCATCCTTCAGGTTGTTGGCTATCCTACCCATATCTGGGCACCTACATTTAATATCAGAAGTCTTCTAGGCTCTCTACTCATTATTTGCAGCATCTTTTCCTTAAGCTGCCGGCTGCTATGTTTACTACTATCACTGCTTCTCATCTGTCCCCAATCATGTCTTTTCTAGTGAACAAACAACATGGCCATATCTCACTGCCCCCAAATCAATTTAATTTGATTCTGATAGCCTGTTAGGCTAAGGAATTTGAAACACAAATGCCAAATCTCAAAATGGTTGTTTATTCAAGGCAAAGACAAATCACCCAAGGCTCAAGTATGAGAAAGCCCCTGGTATTATCCACAATGTATCATTCCTCTATTATTTAATGTCCTTGAGACTATTAAAAATAAACATCATCAACCTGAGGGTTTTGTTGAAGGCAAGTCTTGCTGAAGGTGTGTAAGTTCAAAAGCTCCAATTCATGGCCCAGATGCATTTCAAAGAGCAGTTTTCAGGGCCTCCCCGGTGGCGCAGCGGTTGAGCGCTGGGTTGCGAAGCTGCCCACAGCCTCTGCAGCGCCAGTTCGATTCCCGGCTGCTCCCCGGCCACCGGAGGAGGGTCCCACATGGCACGCAGAACTCTCCTGCTGCCTGCTGCTCCCCTCAGCAGTGTAATTCAGTCCTTCTGCCTGCTCTGCTCCCCGCTCTAGCTCTGGTGAATTCTCTCACCCTCCCGCACTTCTGATTGTACCCAGTGCTTGTATAAATAATAAATAAATAAATCTTTAAAAAAAAAAAAAAGAGCAGTTTTCAGTAGCACATCTTTGGTCAGTCAAAATAATGTCAGCCTTTAAAGTTTTTCCCCCTTCCAGCAATTCTGAATGGCAGATGTAATTTGCCATCAGTTTCTGGGTTGAAAGCTCAGTATGCACAACAGAAACATCTGTTAACCAATCCTCTTAGAACAACCTGTTGCTAGTCACATTTTAATCTTGGAGTTTCCAATCTGATCTATGCAACACCTACAGTTATAGGCAACTTTTGATACATCGTCATCATACCCACAGGCCTTTCTACATCAGTTTGATTTTTTGGTGGTTATGGTGACTTCAGTGCTATTCAAAGCACACAACTTATTCCTCATGACTAGAACACCAGGCTCATTTTAATTATTATTGTGTTCTGAGGTTCAGACACAAAGCAGCTATGCAATGATAAGCCAATATACAATATCTGATACTCAAAGTACCTTTGTTCAAATGCCTAACACCAATCCCATCAGGTCCAGCTTCTCCACTTTCCCCTGGAGACTGGACTATTCCCCACAGCATCTAGATATATGCCTGAGTTTTCTTCTATTTAAAGATAAGAGAGATAGAAGCACAGTGTGGGATTAGGTATCGACCCTTTCAGTTTTGTCTCTACTCCAAATGCCTAGAATAACCCACATTAGGGAATCCTTCCCTTCCCCAGCTCTGTTTCTCCCACTTTCTATTTTCACAGTCCTCATGTTGAAGGTGAAGGCTG